TTCCTAAAGCCTCCATGGGGAGATTCACTCCCAAATGGTCACAGACTTATAATCAGAAAATGTTTGGGACACTGGGGGTAATATTTCACACTTGAGCATGTCAAAAAGCGCCGGTAGCCTGTACAGGCCAGAACACCTTTGCAGAAGCCGTGTGAGAGCACGTTCAGTGTTGCAGAGCAGGGTACCCAGCCTTTCGGTATGGGCATCACTGCCTCTCGCTGCATGCTGCATCGCCACCTCCCCTGCTCCATCCGTGGACCTGCTGCATACATATACGGCACCCTCCGTGCTCATTTTCCCAGCTGCAGTCTCCTTTCTGCTCCTCTTCAGGAGCCCTTGTAAAAAGAGTGGCACAGACAAGGCTTTTGGTCCTAAGGTGCTCAACTCCACCTTCCCTGGGGGCTTCTCTTACCCAGGAGCAGGCAGCAGGCTGCCTAGCCGCTGGCAGCTCCCAGCCTCTCCTTCCTCTGGCCCTCCTGCCGCGCTGGATGTGCTGCCTGGGATGGGATTAGGAACCCTGAGGGCTACAGGAGGTGTCAGCCCGCTGAGGCCACTGCTAGAGCCAGTGATCTGGTTTGTAGCCGGCTCCACATTTTGGGCAGAAAACACTCCCAGGCTTTGGCCACAAGCTCCGGTCGGGGTGGATGGGCTTGGCTGCAGTGAGACCCCAGGGCAGAGGGGAAGCTGCCCTGCCGTGCCCTGCGGCCAGGATGGTCCCTCGGTGCAGGCACGGGATGAGGACTGTGGGGCTGCACTGCCACCTCTGTGCCCCATAGCCTGTCTTTCGGTCCATATCTTACCCTCCACATTAGGGCAGATTTGTGTTTAGGGTTAGGCTCCTGCCCCTTCCCTAATGCGTAAGGCTCATGGCATGCAAAGGTGCTGTTCAGGATTGAGGTCCCTGCTGCCGTGCCAGGACAAAACCGGGTTGGGGGAAGCATTCAATACCTGGAACGATGACAAGGGCATGGCATGTGTATGGCCCTTCTGTGAAGTCACTTTGTGTTTGTTTCAGTCCATATTCCCAGGCTCCATTTGGTGTTCGACAGACAGCCTCTGCATTAAGCTGCTTTAAGGCCGGAGACCACAAAGACAGGGCAGGGTCAGGCAGGACCTTCTGGGTTCCTGTTCTGCAAGGTCCAGATTAGCTGTGCCACTGCTCCGGGGCCAAGAAGCAATCGTCTAGGGCAGACAGGGTGGAGGTGATCGGCTCAGATCACTCCAGCTCATCGTGGCTGCTTGGTTCGTTACGGTAGATCAGCTTTGGGCTGCTCGCTTTGGGTCTGGGTTGATTTTAGCACACAGGTTCCTTTTCATCAGGATGGCAATCTGTCTTATCCATGCCTTTGAGAGGGCTGTGTGGTCATGGACAGGATATTCACATCTAACTTCTGAATTAGGCTGACGATTGGGTTATCCCTTGTGTCCTGAATTTTTGCATGCTCTTTGAAACTGTGAGCAGAGCGAGTCTGGATTTAGGATTGTTGCCCAGAGGCGGCACTGGTATCCTATATGTGATCAGAACTGACAATCTGTTGCCTTCGACTCAGTCTCCTGGGTGCCTCTGCAGAAGGGTGCGTGCATGTGCATGACAGGGACACATCTGTAGAGATGCAGGAAGGAACTGGAGACAGATGACAGCTAGATGGGCCTCTGGTTTGGAGTCTTTAGGCAGCACTGGGCAGCAGCTTCCCTCTTTGCCTCAGGTCACTGCATCCTCTGCACATTGGTTCTTAAGTAGGTACAGGCTAGAGGATAATCCTCTTGTTTAGGGCTCTCAGTGCTCCCTGTGTGATGGTGCCTGCCTAAGGAGGCCTGGCTACTGTCTGCTTAGAGATCCACAGCCTCCTTTGGGCAGGTTCTCATGCCACCTCCATGTCTGTGACCAAGGGCATACCTTTAGAGGCAGCTGAGCCACCCCACTCTGACGGATGAGGATCTGCTCAGGAGCATTTCTAGAGTCACAGGTAAAGTCTGTACATGCCCACAGCATGGGAGGAGAGGAGAGTTCCTCTCACAGCAGCTCCCATCTGCAATAGCCTTTCCTCTCCGTCCTGCCTTTCCCTTTTCAAGTAGAGAGGAGCGCGATGCTCCCTCCCTGGAGAGCAGGTCTGGCTGCAGCTGGAGCCTTGCCCATGACCAGGGGTGCAGTAGAGGCTGATGAGAGGGCTGTTGAGGATCAGGGCAGGGCAAGCACACAAGGCACAGACCTTCCGAAAGCCAAGGTCGAACACAGCTGAAGTGAGGGTGTTGCTGTTTGCTGCTGGCCTGCTGTATCTTACTTTGTGCACCCCTTGCTGATGGATGTAGGTGCAAACCCCTGGCCCAGAAGAGCATTCTTAGCAAAACAGAGTAGCCAAGAAGTCCTGTTTCCACAAGCACGTGTATCTGTACTTCTCATTTCCAGTGGCGCCGTTCACTGCTCTGAGAAAAATGGGTGGATCTGGGCAGCTCCTGGCTCCCTGCCCCCCCGGCAGCCCCCCGGGTGGCACAATGGCCGGGAGCTGCTGCTGGGGACACAGAGCCGGCAGGACAGGGACCTGCTGGGTGCTGGCAGAGCTCTGTCCCTTGGGAAGCGCACACAAGCCCGGCATCAGCCACGCCAGCATGCTGCTGCGTGTCATCCACCCTCGAGGCTGTCAGCACAGCCCCTCCTTTGCCACCGAGCTGTGGCACCTCACACGTTCTCCCTCCTGTTCCCCTTCTCCTGTCCCCCTCCCAGCACCCACTTCGCTGGGATTTCTGAATGAAACCCAGGAATTGTCCAGGCACCCAGCTCCCAGAGTCTCCAGGCGGTGAGCGTGCCTGGTGCTCTGGCTTAAGTATGAGTAATGATAAATAAGTAAATCACAGTGGGCTGCGCTATTCCCTAATGAGCCTGTTTGTCCCAAGCACAGTGCAAAAATCCCTCTTCTCCTTGGCGATAACCTTTCTGCGTATTAACATTATGCATGTATTCATGTGACTTCCTCTGCCTCACCGCCACCTCTTCAACTCATTTAAATAAAAATAATTTATGTGGACATTCCTTCAGTCAGGATTCCCCCCCCCCCCAATAATATTTCGTTGATGCTGTGCACCCAAATGGGGTCGTTATGCTTTCGCATATCATTAGGGCTTTATAAAGAACAACAGCGACATCTGCATGTGCCGCAGCGCTACGGAGATGGGGGGAAAAATACGGAAAACAAACCCCAAATGAGCTCCAAGCTCATCTGGCTCTGTCTTTCCTCAGTGCCTTTGCCACCACCATGGACACAAGTAATTGTACAGTGTAATCACATCACGGCTCATCTGAATATTCATAACCAAGACAAAGACTTGGAAGAGAAGTGGGGGAGGGAAAGGAGGAGAATTTAAATATAAAGCAGCATTTCATTTTGAAGCAAAGTTCCGCATTCAGCTCAAGAGATTGTCTTGATACCGATATTGTCTGTCTGCCATTCGAAAGTGGTGGGCAGTGGTAGCATCGCACGCGTAGCCCCCTCCGTGGAGAAAGAAAATAAAGCACAACAACAAACAGCGACAGAACTGCCCCCAGCGAAAGTGATATTTGAAGAGTCGCCAACGGTGGCTAACCAGCTGCTGTTTTTCCAGGAAAGAAACAGTCTATTGAGGGAGCTTTATAAAGACCCCAATTAATATGTTGCGCATGTATAAGATCTACAAAGAGCCCACTGTGTTCCTCCCCCCGCAACCACCACCTTCTCTTCCTGATCAGTGCCAGTGGAGAAGGATCTGAGCTACCAAATAATTGATTAATCACTTCAGCGGTGACAACACCCCTCTCCAAAATAAAGAGAGAAGAAAAACAAACACAAAAAGAGGCAACTGTTCGCTAATTAGTGTGTAAATTACCGCTGGTTCCATCCTTCTTTGTACCTTGAAAAAGGAAAAGAAAATAAAAGAGAAAGAGTAGAGAAATATAATCCCCATCTTAATGTATATGTTGTCTTCATTTCTTTTGTATTACTCTGATATCCTTTACTAGTATTAACCCAGAAGTGTGGTGTTTGTCGAAGCTGTGGCTGGCTCTGCCAGTTCGTTCCCCAAAGAGCTCCTATTTCCATTCCACTGGAGCTTATATTCCTTTAAATGTCTAGCGCAGCATCATTTCCCCCTTTCTAATACATCACTCTGCTGGAATTAGAAGAATCCAAGGTTATATCCAACTTCAAAGGTTTCCAAGTCATCATGATTTTAGTAAAAGTAGAAGACAGATCATGGAACAAGTGCCTGGCTTTTGAAGATAGGCATCATAGGGACCTTCCTCCCTCTGTCTCTTTCCCGCTCTCCCTCTCTCTCCCCCCAACTTTGTACCTCTCCAGCTCTGAATGTCCCGCGCTAGCGCGGTTTAATGATATGCAAATGAAATATGCATAAAACCATTCTACTGTATGATGATTAAACACTGGAGACATTAACCGCCGACGCTTCACTGTTTGACTATAATAATCTTTCCCGAGCATCCACTTTGATTGCGGAGTTATGGAAACCCATAGCAGTTGGCAGAGAGAGAGTAAGAGAGAGAGAGAGAGAGAAGAGAGGAGAGATGCAGGGATGCATCACCCATCTCTGCATTTATCCCACTCCAGGAGACGTTTCCCCCCCTTTGTACTGCGTTCCTACTGCTGTCTTTTGTAATCCATCCATGCGGTCGCACCAGGGCGATTAACAGGAAAAAAACCCTCTTTTCTCTTAATGTTTCAAAGCTCATTAGCCAAACGATTATTCCTCATTAACAGCGAAAGCTCATTCATTAAAAGAAAAAATATGCCCAAAAGATGCCAGCACTGTTAATCCCGAGCCCTGTAGCTGGGCTGTAAATCCCATGCTAGTATTTTCCATGCAGAAGGGAAGCGCGCCAATCCACAAAAAAAAAAAAAAAAAAAAAAACAAGTAAAAAGAAAACATTTTGTGTGTTTTGTAAAATCCGCAAGAGAGGCAATTAATATTCCCGTTGTATGACTTTATTTTTTGTCTCTCCCTTTTGTTTCCAGTGCCCTTCCCTGGCTCAGCGCCCGGTGCCAACAGAACACCTTGCAGGATCCTCAGCAGCGCAGACAACGTAAGTAGCCAGCTGTCCCTTGACGCCCTCTTCCAAAAGCCCCAAGCCCTCCGGACCCTGCAGAGCGCCTGTGCGGCTCTTTCCCTCGCTCACCCCTCCGGAGTGCCACCTGGGTTTCACAAGTAGCACCTTCCAAATCTCTCTGTCTTCAAGTTTGTGCATGTCTGTGTGGCATCCCTCCTCCTCCTTCACTCCCATAGTGGATCTTGTAAAGGGCTTCAGATCGGCCCCATTCATCTCCCTGGTGATAGCAGTGAATGTAGATAAATCTCTGCCTGCCTGCTTGCTGCTGGAGTATGATTTTTATTTTGTCTTCGGTGTATACCTAGGTCAAAAAGTGGGATGCATACTGACGTTGGGTGAGTGTGTGTGTGTGTGTGTGTGTGTGTCTGTGTCTTTCTCACTCTGTGCCTTTCTCTCTCACCAAGCACACAAACATACATCTCCCTGCATGTGTATGTGCATTACATGCATGCACACAAATATATATCCACACACAGACATATGTGTGTACACACACAGGTACACGCACATCTCCGTCACACACACCCCCACACTCACACGTCTCATCTGCAATTATCTGAGGCATTGTGTGCATATGTGTATGTGTGTCCATACGCACACTGTTCTGTGTGCGTATGTGCATACACAGGCATCTCTCGCTACACCGATAAACATTCCCTCTCCTCCCAGCAGAGGCTGTATGCAGCTGTGATCCTGCCCTATAAGAGCGGTATTCCTTCCTTCCTTCCTTCCTTCCTTCGGCGTGCTGTTCGGAGACCTTCATGCTCCCTTCTCGGAGTCTCTCCCGAGCTGCAGAATTGGCATCCTTCCCTGAGGTTGTCCGAATGGCAAATGGCATCGGCTGGAGCTTGCATTCTTGCAGCTTCTCATGGCATTTCTCTCTCCATGTCGGCTACTCCCTTTTGTTTGTTGTTGACTGGGCTGGGTGTGGTTGGGTTTTTTTTTTTTGGAGTTAATTGTAAACGAACCTGAATGGCAAACACACCAACAGCTTGCGGAAAAAAAAAAAAAAAAAAAAGAAAAAGAAAAGGGAAAAAAAAAAAAAAAAAAAAAAAAAAAGCAAGCCCCACACAAACGCCTTCTGCTGCGACAGATGCCCACGTTGCCCCTGGCATGGAGAACGGGCACAAGGGGTTTGTTGTTGAGGTTTTTTCTGTCGCTGTTTTTATTGTTCGCGTTTCCCTTTCCCTCTATTTTTAAAGACTCCAAGATGCCGGCCTCGGCTTGGAACGGAGCGGTGTCATGGCGGAGACGACGGCCTTTGTCTCTCAGGGTGTGAAAGCATCCGTTGTGCTGGCTCCACTGCGGCAGAATGACGTTTAAAGGGGGGAAAAAGTGCTGAAAGTCCGAGTTGTGCGGTGCCGGTGGGGGAGTCCCCGGCCCCACAGCGGCGTGCGTCCGAGGAAGGGCTTGCGGCGGAGGAGCCTGGTCTGTAATCCTGGCACTCGCGCCTGCGGTCGCTGCCTGCCGTTTGCTCCTGGGGGTCTGGATAATCTCCCTGGGCTTTACCGCACTGTCTGGCCCGCGCACAGGGCCCCCGTAACATATACCCGCTGCCGCGATCGCAGGGAGCTGTGGCGTTGCCACTGAATGGATGGCACTGTGCCAACTCCGCTGCCATCCGCCCTTGCAGCTCTTTTCCTCCCTCCTCCCTCCCGCTCTCCCCTCCTCCTCCTCCTCCCGTCGACTTGATGTTAATTAACACACGGGTTAATTGATTTTAAAAGCTGAAGAATTACAGTTAACTTTTCCCACAGGGTACGGACGCCAGCCGCTTGGCACGGTTCTGCCGCTCGCGCTGGTGCAGGGGGGCAGGGAAGAGCCCGCAGCAAAACCAGCGACTGCGGAGGGATGGACGGACGGCAGTCCGCCTGTTGGAGTGCGGCTGGGGGTGGCTCACGCACTCCTGCCTCGTCCTCCCGACATGTCACCGCTATATTTTGCTATGAACAATCAGAGCAACCCCTCCCCTCGCCTCTCCCACCCACCCTCCTTTCAGAAAGGAGAGCTCTCTCCAAGTTGGAGCAAGGAAGCCGTCCCCCCCAGGCTTGCCACAGCGCGGGGTGACCAGCCCCTGCAGGGTCCCCACCCCGAGCACCCTGCAGCCGCTGAGGTGGGGCACCGGCACGCCGCTGCCGGTTACGGGCTCCTCCTGCCTTCCGGGGCTCCTTCGCGTTCCCTTAATTGGCTCAGATAACGTCACTTGGGGTGAAGCATCTCAACCAGGGGAAAGTTAGTTCGTTGTAATTACGAGAGAAATAAGCCATGTGAGGGCTTTGTTTTTTTGCTTTCGCTCTCCCTCACCCCAATCTCTGCCGCAAGTGAGGGTGAGTGACGGTGCGGCTGGGAGGAGACGCAGCAATGCTGGGAACTTGCTGCTTTCACCTTCTCGTGCTTTCATTTTATTTCATTTTGTTTTTTAAAGGCATGAAGCAAGTGAAGCGACGAGAGGAATCCATTATGCAAATCGGGTCACATTTGCATAATGTCTCATGACTGGAATATGCAAATGAGTTGTATAATTTATGAGTGCCAGTGTCTGTCTAAAAGTGTTTCCCAGAATTTATAAAAAGTGAGACGCGGGGAGGGCAGCTGGGCTGACTGCCCTGCCAGGAGGGCTCTGCGCTTTCTTTTCAAAGTCTTCCTTGAGATCAGCAGCTCAAACGCTCATTAATGAGAAACAAGCCCCCCTTCCCGCCCTGTCCCCCTCGGTTTATTTTCCATTTCTCCCTCTGCCAAGCCCCCCACCTGCTCCCTTCGAACTTCTCCAGGAGGCGTTTGGCTGGCGCAGGGACGGCGGTGGCCGGGGGGTCCTGGGCGGGCTGGCTCAGCCTGGCTCTGCCTCGGGCTGTCCCTGGGGCTGTCCCTGGGGCTGCCCCTGGGGCTGTCCCTGGGGCTGTCCCTGGGGCTGCCCCTGGGGCTGTCCCTCGGCGGCCGCGGAGCCCCGGGGGCACAGTGTGCATCAGGGAGCTGCGCCGAGGCGCCTGCCTCCGACAGGCACCGTGGGATTACGGCTTATTTGCAATGCGCCACGTCCAACTTGTGCTCTGAGTCAGAGACCCGCGCCTGACCTTCGGAGGAGCTGCAAGGTCAGTGCAGGGGTGCCAGTGCCACTGGAGAGCCCTTGAGTTTCCTGCCCAGAGCCAGCAGTGTTCAGCTTCAGCACTGAAAAGGTCTCTGGAATATCTGGAAATGCAGGACAGGTATCAAGACTTTTTCTGTGTTTGGTTTGTTGTTTTTTTTTTTTTTCCTCTGGGTGTTTGGAGATCTTGGGAGCATCGGGAGAAAGCAGGTAGGCTATTTCACATGGGGACGCCACTGCTCGGAGCTGTCTGTGCCGGGAGAGGGTAAATAGCAAAAGGCAGTGGCACATGGAATGCTGCTGCGTGGCGGTGGCGTGGCTCTGCTGCGTGGGTCACAGCCTGCCCGCTCCAGGCAGTGTCCAGCAAGGAGCAGAGGGTGGGCGAGCCCAGGGGTCGAGGCAGCTCAGCATCAGCCTTCCTGAGCTCTGGGAGGTTCCTGAAAGGGCTTTTGGGCTGGAAAGTGTGATTTGCTTTTCTTGAGAATCTGCATTTCAGTTGTAAAAAAGGCACACGTTTGTCTCTCTGGTTTCAAAACAAGTTTTTTGGTGTTAGATACCATCTAAACAGGTGAATCTCTCGTTTTCAATCGATTTCAAAATAATGTGTCTTTATATGGTTTATTTAGTAGGTGTGGGTCTTGACTCTGACAGTGTATGTCATACTGAACGTCTCCAGTACAAAGTAGTGAATTCATAAACCATGATTTCATCTGTGACTGTGGGATTCCTGGTGTGGGAATATAAAAGGACCCTCTGCATCAGGTATAAAGAAGGCAAAACTGTCATGTCTTCCATCTCGACAAGCAAGTGAGAGGCAGCAGCACATCCAGACTCCAAAGCACCTTTTGCTTATGATCGCTCCACTTTGTTGCTCCCTCCAGCACTGAGGGGTGACCGTCCCCCGTGCTGGTCCTCACTAGTGCAGTCAGCAGAGAAGTAGCTGAGTCTGACCTGGAGCCTGTGCAGGATCAGGGCCAGCGGGGGTGGCTGGTGTGCCCGCTGAGGGCAGCGGGAGGCAGGGTGTTCTGTGGGGCGCGCTGGAGCTAAGGCAGCAGGGAGGGCCCAGGGCTGTGGGACGGAATGGTGTGGTAGCCCTGGGGAACATCCCACAGCGCGGGGACCCGTGGCCCTGCAGTGTCAGGAGCCAGGGACGTTTCTAACCTCGAGGCAAACCACCCAGCTGCGCTCATCACAAGAGCTCCTGTGAGCTGGAAAGGAGAGGAGAACATCTGTTTACTTGTTCGTTGGGGTGTTTGGTGTAGAATCAGCAAACCCTGCACCAGGACCCGAGCTGGTTATCCAGAGGGTACCTGCGGCAGGCAGCCTTCCAGGGCTGGCCAGCACCAAGGCCTGGGGCCGTGGGGTGGGAGGAGAACCTCTGGCTGCGGAGCAATTTCCAGGCATCAGCGGGAATTCAGTCTCTGTTTGGGGAGAACCCACAGCTCTGTCTGGAGCTCACCCCGCCGTGCTCCGCTCTGCGCAGGGTGCTGGTCCTGGTGCCCCCTCCCTGCCACCGCTTCTAACCCACGTGGCACAAGGAGAATACCAACAAACGTGGGACCGGAGAAGCAGCAGAGTTCTCTTCTCCTTCTCAGGGCACAGTGCACAGTTCAGGTTTCCCTGATACCTCACCTTCCCTCTCCAGGGCACAGGGCTCCCTGGGAGCCCTGCCCTCCTCATCTGCCCTGCTGTCCCCACGAAGAGCTGCCTGATGGAGGACTCCCCCCTCATCCCTTTCCTGTGGGCAGGGCCTTCTACTTATGTGTCACTTTTTGGTGTTTTTATAAAACCACCAAAACTCATGAACGTTCTCTTATGTTCTTTGAGGCTGCACTTGAGGACTGGTGAACGTCCCGGGCTTTGGATTTGGGGATGAAACGGCTTCTCTGGGGTA